GTAAAATGGTAGAACAAGTAGTACCTGCTTCATAAGGTTATTGAGAAATAATGTTGGTGAAGTATTTAGCATGGAGCAGAGCACGTGATAATTAATCGTGAGATTTTTAAATATACTTTATTGATTTTTTTTTTACAGAGAGAAAGGGAGAAGGAGAGAGAGTTAGAAACATCGATGAGAGAGAAATATCAATCAGCTGCCTCCTGTACACCCTCTACTGGGGATGTGCCTGCAACTAAGGTATATGCCCTTGATCAGAATCAAACCTGGGACCCTTGAGTCCACAGGCCGATGCTCTATCCACTGAGCCAAACCAATTCGGGCAGAGATGTTATTTTTTCTAACAAGGTCAAAGGGGTAATTGGGAGAGGAAGCCAGTGGAGAAATTGCTATGTAGGAGGAGACGTTGCTATGCTGTAGTGAGTCAGACTCTGGGGAGGTGGAGGCAATGGGATTGAGGACTTGAGGGGGGACTTGTTTGGGGTACAAGGCAGTAGAGCTTTTCAAAACCTGATCTGGCTAAGCGGTCACCTGCTGGTTATTAAGTGCAGCTGCCACTTCTATTCCATTTTTCTTGGAGAGTCATGCTGAGTCAATTGGAGGTTCCTCTCACTCCCAGGATTTTACAATATTTCCTGGAGCCCCAGTTCCTACCTCTTTGCTTCCCCTGCCCACTGATTCTCAAGTTGGAGACAGCGGGATCTGAGCAGCAGCATGGTGTCCCAGCAGCATAACCTGTGAGAGGAAGGTTCAGAGAGAGCTGCTGTCATAGCATCTCCTTGTGCTGTACCCTGAACACAGGCCAATAGCCTCTGTCCCCTTCACAGTCTGCATCCTCACAGTCATTCCATGGTTAATGATGCTTCAGAAACACTTCCAGCGGTCTCAATAGGCCTCCTGAGGAATCCTCCCATTTCGTATCAGCTCTGCCGAACTGTCCCCAACCCCTGGCATAGCTTACCCTGTAGTTGCTTGCTGTCACTGAGGAGGCTTCTCCACCTTTTCAGCCTCCTTATCATCTTCCTTCCCTTTATTCTATTCATGCCCTGACTTTGCCTTTGCATAGGATGCTCTTCTTCCTGCAATGCCTTCCTTTCTCTTTCGCAGGCCAGCCCCTCCTCATCTTTCAAGAATGGCATCAAACTGGAAGCCTTTCTTAATATTGTCCCACCCCACCCCCCAACCACTGGTGAGTTGGATGTGCCACCCCCACCCCAGTGTTCCCATAGCAACCAATAGCTGGCCATCTCATGCCTGTTATTCCTTGTACCTTATGGTAACAGTTGGGAAATGTCTATCTTCTGGCCAGACTAGGAGCTCTTATTAGGTGGTGGTCTTCTTCTTCTTCTTCTTCTTCTTCTTCTTCTTCATCTTTATATATATATTTTATTGATTTTTTTACAGAGAGGAAGAGAGAGGGATAGAGTTAGAAACATTGATGAGAGAGAATCATCGAACAGCTGCCTCTTGCACACCTCCCACTGGGGATGTGCCCGCAACCAAGCCCTTGACCAGAATCGAACCCGGGACCTTTCAGTCCACAGGCCGACGCTCTATCCACTGAGCCAAACCGGTTTCGGCTGATTAGGTCTTCTTAATATCTATCGCATAGTACCCATCTACCACAATAGTTCCACTCCCTCGTTCCTCAGGAAATGTTGGTTGAATAAATCAATGTCCTCATGGCAGAAAGGATGTCTTCTGGCGGGAAGACAAAGGAGGTATGTGAAAGTGGACTCCCTTTCTTGCTCTGAGCGATGCCAGCTCCTACATCCTGTTGACTGTCCTCTCATTCCATGACTCAAGGGTTGCCAGATTTTATGTTGGTTCTCTTCTTCGGCAAATCTCAACTTTTGCTGAGCTGTTGATGCAAAGGGTGTTTCTGGGATTGCCAGCCATAGACTCCTTTCTGGATGTCAAGCAGATTCTATTCTGGGGGCATCCAAATCTCAAAAGGGCACCAGGTCCTTAGGCTAAGCACCACAGGCAGGGACAACTGCCAGATAATACTGCTTCCCCCCAAACTGGCAAATTTGAGACTATGCCAGCATCCAAGGTCAAAATGCCAAGAGGTGTCCAGGTGCCATTACATGAGAGGCTGTGGGCTGGGGCCAAAAGGAAAATAGAGGCCTTGAGAGTGCCCAGGAATCAAGTATAGGTTAGGCCTATATCACTTAGAGCTCTTGGTCTTAAGTGACCCATCAGAGCTCCATCAAATAAAAGGGGGACTTATTTAAAGGTACAGAAGAAGTAGGAGTGAAATAAGGCTCCGGGGGGGGGGGGGGGTAGTAGGAACCAGGGCTCTAACCTCCATCAGGGTCTTCTCTTCTCTTTTTTCATTCATTTATTGATTACCCATCTCTTCTGTAGGCTCTGTGGCTGGGTACTGAGGATTGAGTGCTAAGCAAGATAGAGGAGGTCCTCACCCTTCAATAGGAGAGATAGATATAAAATCATTAATTCCCCCACTAGTAACTTAACAGCAATTGTGATAAATGTTGCAAAAGAAAAGAACACCCCATGAGGGGCTCTTATGAAGAAGAGGGAGTTGGAGAGTAGGGGTGGGGAGGAGGCTCACTTTGAGGAAATGATATTAAAATTGAGCTTTAAAGCATTCATACAAATTAATCCCAAAGTATTTACCGGTAGATGTAATAGGGACAAGGTTTCAATAGTCCATGGGTGAACAAACACTTTTGTATTTATCCTATCTAATAAAAGAGTAATGTGCAAATTTGCCATCACTCCAACACACAAGATGGTTGCCCCCATGTGGACACAAGATGGCCACCACAAGATGGCCGGCAGGGGAAGGCAGTTAGGGGTGACTAGGCCTGCAGGGAAGGGCAGTTAGGGGGGACCAGGCCTGCAGGGGAAGGAAGTTGGTGACGATTAGGCTAGCAGGGGAGGGCAGTAAGAGGCAAGTAGGCTGGCAAGGGAGGGTAGTAAGGGGTGACTGGGCCATCAGGGGAGGGCAGTTGGGGGAGACCAGGCCTGTAGGAGAGGATAGTTAGGGGTGACGAGGTCAGCAGGGGAGGGCAGTTAGTGGCAATTGGGCTGGCAGGGGAACAGTTAGGCATCAATCAGGCTGGCAGGGGAGTAGTTAGAGGGTGATCAGGCTGGCAGGCAGAAGCGGTTAGGGACAATCAGGCAGGCAGACCAGTGAGCAGTTGGGAGCCAGCAGTCCTGGATTATAAGAGGGATGTCCCAGATTGGAGAGTGTGCAGACTGGGTTGAGGGACACCCCCCCCCCCCCCAAGCATGAATTTCGTGCACCGGGTATCTAGTTTATAGATGATTTCACATTATTATTTCATAGACATTATTATTTCAGTATAGTATCATTTAGGATGAAAGTGAATATGGAAGGGTACAATTTAAATATTAAGTAATAATAATGGAAGTGGTAATAGATAGGACAAAATTCACAAAGGTCACACTTTGAATTAAGCAGACTATGCAGGGCCCTGTAGCTACTTTAAGAGTTTTGAACTAAGAATGATGGGAAATATTGTGGGAAAGGGATTATGTTAGATTTCTGTGTTGAGATTACTTTGTCTACTACTAGTGAGCACTATGTGAGAGGTCCAGACCGATGCAGGCACCCCTGTTAGGAGTATAGTGTATTGTAGCAATGCAAGCAAGAGATAATGCCTATTTGGACAGGTGTGTGAGCAGGGGAGAGAAGTAGAAAAATTAAAGAAATGCTACCAGCTGTACTAATGAGAAATGAGGGAGAGGAAGATGACCAGGGTGGAGCTTTTCTAGCCCGGTGGAGGAGGAAGATGGTGAGTTATCCAAGTGTAGATGTCAATCAAGTAGGTGGTTGTAGGTCGCATGTCTGAAATAATTCAGCTTTAATAAAACAGGCGACTTCACAGAGCTAGTGTGTATACTCAGAGAGCGGAGGACACAGTAAATGTTCCAAAAGCTGCAGTTCTGCTCCCCTCTGTCCCGAAGCGAGCTAGTGATCCAGAGGCGGTCAAAGCTTGGCTGTGTTCGTGTTTACTCGAGGCCTCTTTCCCCGGACCCCTTGCCACAATTCCTGGCTCACAGTGCATGCTCCATGTATGTAGAATGAAAGAATGGAATTGCGCCTTTGCGCCCCAGGGCTTCCTGTAACCGGCTGCAAACTGGAGCTGAGCCTGATCTTTGGTTGGCTGTAGAATTAAATCATAAGAAGTGTGCATGAAATGATACAGAAGTTGGAAAGCCTGGACAAAGGCTGGGGCGGGGGTTCCCCCCTACCCCCCGGCGGAGTCTGGTGGATGAGTGAGGAAGCGCTGGTGGGAACTCTGGGCCCCCCATCACCCCGGCACAGCAGCTCCGGGGAGGGGAGGTGCAGAAGCGGTGCACTCCCACCCGCCGGGCCCGGCGCCGGCCGCCTTTAAAGGCCCACCACGTGGCCGCGGGCCGCGGGTCCGGAGGCGGGTCCAGGCTGCGCCTGCGCACTGCCGTCTGGGGTGGGGGTGGGAGAGACGGGGTTCCGAGAAAAGGCTCCGGGAGAGGAAGAATAGGCCGGCGGCTCCGGGTGGGCGGCCGTGGGAGGAGCCGGCTCCGTATGCAAATCCCGGCGTCACGCCCGGGCTCGGGGGCGGGGCGGCCGGTGCAAGGCCAGGTGCCCCTTTGGAAGCGCGGGAGGGGCGGGCCCGGCGCCCTCGGCCTCTCTCCACGCGTCTCTGACGTCGCGGACGTCCCGCTTAAAAGCGGCCGCGCAGGCGCAGTGGGCCGAAAAGCGAACTTAGGCTGTTACACAACTGCTGGGTCTGCTCGCCGCCGGCCGGCCGTCCGAGCGCCGCCTCAGCCGCCGCCGCCTCTGCCTCTGCCGCTGCCGCCTCAGCGTCCCCGGAGGCTCCGGCCGCCGCCCCGCCCTCGCTCCCCCGCGCCCCCGGGGAGCCCCCGCCGCCCCCCGGCCGCCCGCACAGGCCGGTCCCGCCCGCCCGCCCGCGTCTGTCTCCTCGGCGCCCTCGCCGCCCGCCGCGCTCGCCGCTCCGGCCGCAATGAGTGGGGACCATCTGCACAACGACTCCCAGGTACGGCCGGCCGCCGCGCCCCGCCCCGGCCCCCCGCCGCCCGGCCCGGCCCGGCCCCGGCCCCGGCCGCCCGCTTTGACAGGCCGGAGCCCCCGGCCAGGGGCGGGCGGCCAGAGGACATCTGACCTCTAGGCCCCGGGCGAAAGCGCCGAAGTTGTCGTGCTGGGGGGGGAGGGAGGCGGCGGCTGCCCCCTCGGGCCCGTCCCTGGGGCCCGCACCCCTGGGGGGGCGCAGGGAGGGCCGGGGCCCCGGTGCGCGCGCCCGCCGCCCGCCGCCCGCGGGGCTGGTGTCCTTGTTGTCTCACAGTCTCTCCTTCTCTCCCTCCAGATCGAGGCGGATTTCCGATTGAATGGTGAGTGTGGCCCCCCGACCCCCCGGCGCCCCGACCCCCGCCCGCGGTTCTCCCCCGCCGCCCGCCCCGCGCCCGCCGGCGCCGGCGGAGGACAGACATGGCGTCCCAGAGACTAAGTCCCGGCTCCTCGCTCACCGGCCCCATTGTTCCCATCGGGCCGCCTCTGGCCCCGCTTTCCGGGAGTCCCAGCGCCCCCGGATCGCGGCCCTCCCCAGAGGGGGCCGCGGGGACCCCGTGTCGCCTGCGGCCGGGCCTCGGGCGGCCTGCGCGGGGCCGGATTTCTCCCGGGAAAGTCGCCTTGTCGACGGTCGGGACTTAGTCTCTGCGCCATTTTCTTTTTTCTCTCTGCTCTCCTTTCAGTGCCCGAGCCTTTCTCTCCCTCCCGCGGCTCCTTCCCCGCGCTTCCTTCCCCGAGAGAGCGAGCTTTCTGCGGGGCAGAGCCGTGGAAGCCACACACCTTACTGGGGAGCGGAGGGTGGGAGACGGAATTGTTACAATTTTTTTTTTTTTTTTTTTTTTGCCCCAAAGTGAACTTCATTTTGGGGGGTTATTATTCCCTTTCTGTTGCTTGTTTGTTTCCTTTTCTACACCCAGAATGAAAGCTTCCCCCTGGCAACTGTTGATTTTTTTTTTTTTTTAATTTTTATTTTTGTAAGGTGTTTGTGATAGGAACTATGGCTGGGAAAACTAAAGCCACCCTGTGTGGGGCTCTTCCTATTTTGAGATTGTTTTCCCCAAGTTGTGTTGTTTGCAAAGGTAGTGAGTAGTACCTCCCTTCCGAAAAAGTTTACACGTTCTCCATGGGCCACCCAATGTAAATGTTGAACTCGGGCATATTGATTTTTTTTTTTTTTTTTTTTTTTAAGTTAAAGTGTGATTGACGAGAACTTTTCCAGTGGCGGAGGTTCCTAAGGCAGGGCTTCTTTAGAAATGCAGTTTAGTGTACTCGTCAGGGGGAAAGGTGGTGGAGCATCTATCTCACCATGGCCCTGGTGTAGTGGCCTTTTCTTCTGGACTGTGGGGAAGAAAAGAAAAAGATTTTATTTATTGAAACAAAGAGTGACCAGCACTCACCCAGCTTCCTGTTCGTTCTTTTTCAAAAGCCGCTGTGTGTTTTTTTTGTGTGTGTTTTTTTCAGGTATCAAGAGAGATTAGCTTCCCCCAGATCTTTATGTTTTCCAACTCGGTTCAGCCAAAGCAAGGCATTTATTCCTTGAATAGTTCCACTTCCGTTACCCAGTGAAGACTCCCAATAAAAGGCTCACTCTCTGAGCCCTTCAGCCTTCTTGGTTAAGGAGGTCTGTGTGCTGGGAATTCCCGCAGACTCTGGGTACATAATCTTGTTCAGTTGAGTTGGGGTGCCCGGAAGCTCTCCAGTGGGAGAAGTTGATGAGTAGGTTTTCTGATGTTGTAATCAGCAGCCCATCGTGTTAGCCTGCTCTACTGAGAGCAGCTGTATGTTCAGATTCTGAAGCGGGGCATCTAGCAAGAGATGGAACTCTGGCAGGAGATAGTCTGGTTAAGTAAAAATGTGGCATTTCTTGGGCACCTAGAATGTGCCCTGCACAGTGCTAGACCACAGTGCTGCTCCTGCCCTTCATTCGGTCTATTGGGGGGAGACATAATTAGTTAATTATAAGGTAGGTGCTGGGGCTTTGGGAGACCAGGGGACTTAATTTTGTCTGAGGGTGGGAAAGTTTCCCAGGAGGTGACTTCTGAGCTGGGTGTCATGCAAGACTAGTCCATAGAGGTTAAGTGTCTTAACTATGTATAGCCAACCTAGGCTTTGAAAGGAGGGCGATGAGACCCCTGGAGTTCAGAAAACTTCAAAGAATATTAATATGCTTCTTTGGGATGTGGGAGCAAAGAAAGGATGTGGCAGGTAAGGGTGTAAGAAGTTCTTTTAAAACCTCTCTTGGAGAAAGAACCTTAATACAGAAAAAGTGTTCTTTTGACGTTCAGAATGAGGCTTAATACCTTCTCAGAAAGTTAATCTCCATGGTCCTCACTTAAATTATACAAAAGAAATATTGAATATGAGTGGCTGTGGGCCATTTTTATAGAAGCTGGAGTAAACTTGGCTGTATTGACTTTAAGAATGTGTTGACTTGTAGTAACAATAATTGCTAATATTTACAGAATACATTCTGTCCGCCAAGCACAAATTTCAGCTCTTTCCATGGAGAATCTAATCTTCAGAAGGACACTTAGGAGTTAGGTACTATCATCTCTTTTACAGATGAGGAAATGGAGGCTTAGATTTATTTGCTAGTTTGCCTAGGGTAGTGAGTTCAGCATTCCGAAGCTCACAGGCTTTAGCCTGTGATTCTGGGATGACCCTAATGATTCTGTTAGAAGCTGCTCTACTTTCTTACCGAGCTAAAAAAGGCAAGAGAGACGAATTTGATAGTTTGTCATTTGCTTACTTTTTCATCTAAGTCTGCTCCTTCGAGAGAAAAAGCATTTTCATTGCCTTCCCCATCCTAAGAGTCTGACAATGGAATGATTATCTTGTAGTGCTTGCTCTATTAAGGAACACTGGTAATTAGCGATTGATTTATGTAACTATAAAAGACAGTTTTGAAAAAATAAAAATCAATGTTTAATTATGCTCATGACATGTCATTATTGAACTTTGTATTCAGAGTTTGCTGAAGCTTGATTTTAAGTGGACCTATCTTAAAGCTGTCTTACAGATTAACTGTTCGAGTTCATATATTAAAGCAAACATCCCTCATTTTTCCTGCCCTCATCCCCTAAGATCTAAAAGGCTTTGCCCTTTGGAGCGCATTCTTTACATAGTTAAAACTATTGGCTGTTCTTATAGATTAGAACATTCTGGCCCATACTCAATTGTTGAGAAAATCTTTTATATGTGAAATGTATTTATATTTAAAATAATGACTGTGAGCTGGGAGTTTCAGGTGTGGAAACTATACTCTACCTAAGTTAAAAGACTTCCCTTCTAACTGTCATGGGGCTGAGTCATGGTTCCAAGCACCGCGCAGACTGTCAGGCTATCAGTAGAGTTGATAGTGATAACATCAGGTAGGAGGAGTACTGATCCTTTTGCTCTTTCTAAGACTTGAAGTCTGCCTATTTTGGAGTTAAGGAGTTCTTCCCTCCCCAGCATGAACAAAGTATGATGCTTGATTCCATCAGTGATTATTCTGAGGAATGTTATATGGGATTGTAGTTTCACATCATCTTGTGTTGATTCTGGTTAGCTTGATGGATTCAAATGGGATGGGAGAATGAAATATAAATTGTTTCTCATGCTAACACATAGTAGTAGTACTGTGCTATGGGGTGAGATTGGGTTAGGATGACTGATGATGTAGCTATCTGAAAGGTCCTATCACATTTTAAAAACAACAAACTCAAAACACCTTCTCATGAGAAGTCTGGCACATTTTCCTCCTCAGTCCAAAAACACTTAAGCATTGGGCTCCAGTGTCATCTTTCTTGACTTGTTAACATGTATTTTTTATATTACCAGTATATCAGAACTCATAAACAAATTTTACATTCTTATGTTTTGTGGTAAAACAAAATCTAGGAGTTACTAAACGAATCTGAAATACCTCATGGTTTGAAAGGTGAATATTGGACTAATGCTAATTATCTTCAACTCACACTTTTCTCTGCTAAGTAAGGTAATATGGAAAATATGAATCCAGTGTCTGTACCCAAATCTCATTTTAACCAATAGTAGAAAAAAATTTTTTGACTCTGTTTTCTTTAGCATCAGCATAAAAATGGGGAATTGTGAGTTTGAAAAGGATTTGTTCATTTGTTCTGGATCTTAGTGAGTTAGTATTCATTGATACATTATACAGTGCCAAGGATTCTTACCATATCTTAAAAAAGCTTATACTTCAAAATTAAGCTCTTGGGTTTTTTTGGTTTTTTTTTAATATATTTTATTGATTTTATACAGAGAGGAAGGGAGAGAGATAGAGAGTTAGAAACATTGATGAGAGAGAGTCATCCATCAGCTGCCTCTTGCACACCTACTGGGGATATGCCCGCAACCAAGGTACATGCCCTTTACCGGAATCGAACCCGGGTCCCTTCAGTCCCCAAGCCGACGCTCTATCCATTGAGCCAAACCGGTTTTGGCAAGCTCTTGGGTTTTATTTTTTGGCATGTGGGGATGGGGAGGTGTGCAAAAAAATGCCTGCCTTTTTTGTCTGTAAATGTGTTAGAGAAAGCTTTGTGTTATCTATTAATTATAAGTTATCCTATACGACTAAACGGATGGGAAATGATCCTATTGTACTTTCTAGATGTTATTTCACATTAGGAGCCTTCAGATTATACTGAAATGGTTATTTCACGTTAATTAGGTGTGTATGTTACAGGTTTTTTAACAGCTTCTGCCACACTTTCAGTGCAAAACCTGGTTTTCCTCAAACCCATAGTTGTTTACCCAGAAACATGTTTGAGCACCAATAAAGCTTTAGGTTCACTTGGAAAAGTGGACAGAATTGTAATTATTTACATTTGAATGAAGCTATGGAAATTATTGAAATGAGTATTTGATGTGGGACCCTGAGTTTAAAACCCTCTTGAAAGGTAAGATGTAATCAATTCATTGCATTTAGAGGTGGAAGAAAATCAGTTGAGTGACTTTTCTGTGTCCTGTGGTTTAAATTATCTGACTGCCCTAAATTATTTTGAAACCATTAACTTCTCATAATAAAAACATTGGAGAAAATGGCTTCTTAAGGTAAAAAGTTGTTGGTGGGAGAAGTTCTTAAGAAGTGAATGAGGTTAAAGGAAGCTTTCAATTGTGTTTAAACTTTGAGCAGTAATAGTTGGGACAGGTCTTTTCGCTCTATTTCCGTGCCTAGTAAATCTGAAGTGTGAGAAGCAGCTTTCCATCACCAGGGCTCCACTCCAGCAGTTGAAGTAGGAAATCTAAACTAAAATAGAGGCAAATAGCATGGAATAATTAGCATTTTGCCAGCCCTCGCCCTCTCCCCACAACCTGCCTA